TGCAAGTTGTTACCTAATTTAATGCATATGGCGTAATTTGTTATTTACAAATAAAGATATTTTTGTCTGTTTTAAATATTTTTTAATATTAATAAATCTTTTTAATTTTTTTTAGCAAATTGTGTATTTTGTTACCACGTGTATAGTATGTAACATGCTAATATTCAAAACCCAAAAGATCACAAACTGTCCTCGTAGGAACCAAAAAATCTAAAACTAGTCAATTACAATATTTTCCTATAAACTTCAAGAAACCGTACATTCCGAAAATGGTTCTACTTTCTTTTGCTTTGGCTCTAAGGAGAGAATGGACAAACTGAAACAAATAAAGTAATCGACGTATTCAACTTTGAGTAAGTGTACGTCTCGAACTCATTCGTGTGTGCTTGAAATCAGTTGAATGCCCATATAACTCAGTAATAATCGGAATCGCCCAAAAGAAAAAAAGCAGTAGAGAAAAAGGACAAGTCACATAAAGAAATCAATCAATAAGAAAAGACGGGCATCTTGAATTAGCATAAAGAAGCCAAGAATATAAAGATTTCAGTAAAGACACGGGCGGCCTTGTACCAGAAAACCTTGTAGCCATATCCTTTAAATGGCCACCTTTTTTATCTGACTATGGTGCAAAAGTCCCTACAACATCATCCTTGGAGTTTGAGAACCTCCAGTACAACTATCAATTGTAGGTGGACATTGCTAATAACAATGCATGTACTTTGCTTGCTTACAACCCCAATCTAGTTGGGATTTTTAATAAATTTTAATAGAAGTCCAACAAATAAGTGAATAAAAAGTTGTGAATATCATGCTGTAAAGGTCAGTCGAGTTCACATAAGGACACGATTTGGCCTGTTCACATCTCTAAGAGTCTACAACTTGTCATAACCCTACAAATAATTGAAAAAACAATTGAAGACAAAATTTATCTTCTACGACGAACGTAGTAATTTCTTGATTTGTATTCAAAATTTCTTTTCATTCAATTGATATACGTCTCTAGGCATTTACATTTTAATTGTCACGGGTCTTCCCATGCTCGAATCAGTCGAAAATCTTGATAGCAAAAAACCCATGGTATAGAAATTATGTAGAGTTTAATAACAATTAGGCTCATTATCTTGTACTAATTGAGTCTTGAATGTGTGGTAGGTTGTCATAAAGCATTTCCGTAGTAAAGATGCTAAGATTTTTCCACAATAATTGCCTTTGAAAATAGGCCAAATGAAATAATCTCAAGCACGATCCCCCTACTATCTCAATTCTTACATGTGGTTTCTTCATTTATTTTGACACAGTGTGAAACAAAGAATTGAAGAGAAAATCTTAAAAACACAAACCTGGAATCCACCATAAAATGAAAGATAAATTCAAGAAATTTTATTAATTCAATAATTGCCTAAAAATGAAAAGTTAGCCATTTATTTACAAGGGTTTACACAAGGGAAGATTACATATTCAAGAGAATAAGTTTAGCATATTTCAAAAATAAGAAAATAAGTTAGAAATTATCAAAATCAGATTTTTATTAAAATTTGTTAAATTTTTATTTATGAAATAATAAATTATTAAATTAATTTATTATTAAATATTTAATTCTAATATAATATAATTAATCCATCTCACCTTCACCACCCCCACCGTTCTGTCGATTGTTCCGATCATCGCCCTACTTCAGCGAACTTTCCGGTGACTTCCCGACTACTCTTTCGGCTAACTTTTCTGTTGACTTTTTCGATTCTAATAATTATTTATATTATTAATTAAATATTTATTTATTTTATTAATTAAATATAATGGGGTCATAATTATACAATTAATGGTCACATATATATAATTAATTGTTTACAAATTATTTTTGAGGTATCNTGGTCACATATACATAATTAATTGATTACAAATAAAAAAATTTATAGATCACGATTTTTTTATTGGTCACATATCAAAAATTTTGTAGGTCACATGTTATTTCGAGATCACAAATCAGGTCACATATTATTTTATTGGTCACGGATAAAAAAATTACAGGTCATAGTTATCTATCAGTCACATATTTTCAAATTTATAGGTCACATATTAATTTTTAGTCACAATTTTAAAGTCACAGATTTTTGTTTTGTGACCACCACCAATTTCTGTGACCACCCCCCATCGCATATTAATTTTTAGTCATGATTTTAAGGTTACCACCAACGAATTCTGTGACCACCCTCGTGACCACCACAGACTTCTGTGACCACCCCCGTGACCACCACCAACTTCTGTGACCACCCCCCTGACCACCACCGACAGCTATGACCACCACTCATCACTGCCACCAGCCATGTCGTCACGCCACCACCACTGAAATGCACCAACTCCACTCTCAGATCCCTCGGGCTCAAAACTCACCACTGAAATACACTAGCACACGCCATTTTTGCAACACCAACATCACCATACCGTAACATCAACACCACCGCACACATTACAACACCATCAAATCTACCACCGCGCACACAACAAAACCACCCCGACAATTCCAAAACCACAATTCAAAAACCACCACCACACCACAACAACCGCAATCATCATCCCCACAACTCACAAACCATCGAAGAAATCAAACTAAAAAAAAAAAAATATAGATCTGCGCCACTGTAGATTAACCACAATATATCCGAATCTGACTAGACCTCTCCTCTACACAGCCTCTCCACATCACTGCCACTGTGCGCGGCCTCTCTACATAGCTCAGGAGTTCGCAGGGGGCGGCGCTCACGAGGAAGAGGATATAGAGAGTCTCCGGCGACGGTGCTCTCCAGTGGTTGCGGCGGCAAGTTCATTGTGGTGCTTTTCCGAGGCGGCGGTTGGTGCGGTGCTCACAAGGAAGATGTTAGAGAGAGAGTCTCCAGCGATGGTGCTTTCCCGAGGCGACGGCGGCGGCAAGTCCATTTGTGAGGGAGGGTAGATAGAGACGGTGAAGATAGAAGGTAGAGAGAGATGGCAAATTGTTATATTAGTAAAAAAAAAAAAAATGTATATATTAATTAAAAATATCTGATTTTGGAAAAAGCAAACTTTGTACCTGATTTTGGAAATGTGAATACATAAACTATGGTTCTGTGTAATTACAATAGCACTAAAATTTTAAAAGCATTTTTCAAGTCCTAAATGAATGAAATTGTTAAAATCCATCATATGTAATTACAAAGGGATGAGTTCAGTCCTACTCATTCTCTTTCCGAAAAGATATTATGGGTCCAAATCAGAGCTTAAACGCCAAATCTGCAATTTATTGTTTTTCTCTTTTCGATCTAACTATTTCTCAATCCGCTCGGTCATCTGTTCTACATCACATTGGAGACTAAACAATGGAAGAATAAGTTTAACAAGTTCATCCTCCTCTTGTCCCATTTTTGTCCT